CTGTTAAATGTGGTGAGAGAGTGTACACTAAACCCATGCCACTCTGCCTGGCACTGGTTAAGTGCTCAATGCACACGAGCTGTCACCGTTAGCCCACCTCTGAAGCACAGATCTGTGTGTGTCACTGCCTGCTCAGAAAGCTTCAGGGTGTCCTCAAAGCACCAGGACAGTACCCAAGTCCCAGCCCTTCCTCACAGCCCCCGGTCCAGAGCTGTCCTGCTCTTCCACCCGCGCCCCTGCACGCGATGGAGAGGGGATGAGGGGACTCTCCCTGCCTGGCCCCTGGCCTCATCCGCGTGGCTCCTCCCAACTCCCCCGCCCGTACAGCCCCGCCCAGCCCAGCTCATGTCTGTTCACGCTCCACCTCCTCTGGGACCCCCAACTCCACTGCAGCTGGGAGGCCCCCCACCCTCCTAGTCCTGTGGTTTCCACCCAGTCTGCTAGGGGCAGGGGCTGGGTCACCTTTGTCCCGGGGCCTCGCTGTGCCCTGCTCCTAGTAAATACTCTGAATTTGTAAACCTGCTGCCTCCTGGAGCCAAGTGGGCACCGACTGGTTTTCTGCCCCCACACCTTGGCTCTCTAGAGACCCCATTATCCACTGGCTGGCTGAACGGTGGATGGCCTCCTGTGTGCCAGGCCCACAGTCACACAATGGTGACCATGACAGGTCCAGTCTGCCCTGACAGAGGGGCAGTTTAGTGGTTCTTCCTAGGACCCTTGGGAAGCCTGTCATGAGAGGCAGAAGTACACCCAGGAGGGACCTGCCCTGTCTGTTTGGGGATGTCAGACAGGGTCGTAGAGCTCTCCCCGGGGCTGGCCACCTGGCCCTCACGCCTGGCTGCTGGGCAGGGAGCTCCAGGAGCTTCACAGTGCCATGGTGCCCTGATGTTACCCCCAGGGCTACCCCCTGGGTTACCCCAGCTGGCCCCCAGGAGGAGGTGGGGGGCAGGGCTTGGCTCGGGGGAGGCTGCTGGCAGGGGCGGCGGGGCAGGGTGCTGAGGCTCACAGTCGGCCGGCAGGTAGAAGACCAGGTTGATCATGAAGGAGATGAGCACGCAGGGCACCAGGATGTTGATGATGTAGAAGAGTGGCTTGCGGCGGATGATGAGGTAGAAGGTGACGTCCTGGCGGCTGGGGCTGTCCAGAGGGGCGCTGGGGTCCACGTTGACCCTGGCCGGCCGGTGCACTATCTCCCACTCCCCATTCTCTGAGGGCAGCACACGACACCCGGGGGTCAGGCCGGGCCGGGGGTGCTAGGGGGTCCTCGGGACAGGACCAGGGGCTGAGCAGAGCCAGCGGAGCAGAGGCGCAGCCAGCCCTGACTGAGGGGCCCTGGTGGAGGCGGGGGAGGGGTACCCAGAGGAGGGTTCATGCTCTGCTGGTGGGTGTCTGTCCCTGGGGGTTGGGATGGGAGTTTCGATGAGGGGGAAATTTTCCTCTGTGATTGATCTTCTTCTCTTCTCGGAAGAAAATAGAAGCTAAGGCCATACAAGGTTCAAATAAGGAGTATGTTTTGGCTCAAAAGATATCACAGAGGCCGGGCACGGTGGCTCACTGCTGTAATCCTAGCGCTTTGGGAAGCCAAGGTGGGAGGATCGCTTGAGCCCAGGAGTTCAAGATCAGACTGGGCAACAAACATGTTGAGACCCCATCTCTACAGAAAATAGAAAAATTAACTGGGCGTGGTGGCTCGTGCCTGTAGTCTCAGCTACCTAGGAGGCTGAGGCAGGAGGATCAACTGAGCCCTGGAGTTTGAGGCTGCAGTGAACTATGATGACCCCAGTGTACTCCAGCCTGGGTGACAGAGTGAAACCCTGTCTCAAAAAATATATATATATATATATTTATATCATGAGCCAAAAATAGGTATGTGTAGATTAAAGAGATGAGGAAAAAAAAATGTTTCAGTTACTGAGCTCATCTTCCTCAGTAGAAAGAAAAGCCACGTCCACATTAGTTGAGTGCTCGTCCCAGCCTGGGTCTGGGGATGAGGAGCCAGCGAGAGTGAAGCTATCCTCTACCCCTGGGAGGTCCAGCCTGAGACCAGCGGGTGTGTCCCTTCTGAGGGACAGGGTGCGCAGTGAGCCCCATGGAAGATCTGAGCTGGGTGCAGATGGGAGGTGGGGCGCTGGGAGTGGTGACCGTCACCCCGTCAGGAAGACAGCCCACACCCCAGCCACACCCCCGGGCTCTGCAGGCACAGGAAAGACCAACCACGCCCCTCCTCTGTGAGCCACCTGTGTCCCCAGGGACCCCTGTCCAGGCCCGGAAGAGTCTTGTGGTACCTGTGTCCCTCCCTGCCTTTGGGATGTCTTTGCGTGTCAGTGCGTGTCTGCGTGTGCTCCTCTGCCTGTCTGTGTGTAGCCGTGGATGTGAGTGCCCCAGTGTTGGTGGGTGTGCACCTGTGCCTCCCTGGGGTGGGAGGTGTCGCATGGCTGTTGGCGTGTATCCGGTGGCCTGTGTCTGAGGGCCTGCCCACCCACCCAAGGCTGCTCCGAGCACCTGTGAAGCCCTCAGGATCGATGATGATCCACTCCACGGGGTAGGTGCGATCCTCTTCAACATCCTGCTTCAGGCTCAGGGTGATCTCCTTGGCCGTGTACTTGAGGGAACTGGGGAGGGCAGTGGGCAGAGGGGGACCCTCAGCCACTGGCTAGGGCCACAGAGAGGGGAGGAGGGCTGCTGTGGGCGAGGGGAGCCCTAATCAAGACAGGGCAGGGGCTTCTGCCTGGTGGGGCTTTGTTCACCTCCTTGGGGCCCTGGCAGGGTGCTGTAGGGGGAAGGGCGACTGGAGAAGGGGGCGCACCTGAACTTGAGGGAGCAGTTCTGCCAGTCAAAGGGGAAGTAGGTGACGGAGATAGGGCAGGAGGAGCGGAAGATGGCAGGCGGCAGCCAGTACACAGAGCCTGAGTCATAGACCAGCACGTTGCAGGAGTAGGTAATCTGGAAGGAGCCGTCGTTGCTGGGAGGGAGGGACAAGGACCACAGTGAGCACTGGCCAGCTCGGAACTGGCAGGGCGGGCAGGAGAAAGGGTGGGAGCGGGAGCTGGGGGCATCAGGAAGGGGGTGGGGTGAGGGAGGGCAGGCCGGAGAGGGGTGCAGCTCAACTTGTTCTCCAGCACAATCTCTGGGAGCCACAGCATGTCAGAGGGCAGGCGCAGGACACTGATATTCCCAAATTCTTCAGCATCCCACTTCAGTCGGCTGTCTGTCCAGCCCTGGAAGCCCAAAAGACATGTCGGCAGTGCACTCTGCTGCTGCCCAGCCGCCCTCACTCCTCCCGCTTCCCTGGGGGAAGACTGAACAGGGTCTGGTTGCTGTGACAAAAGAGGTTTGGGGGAGGCAGGTACAGAATGGGGATTCAGGTCTGTCATGGACAGCTGTGTAGGATGCTCACTGTGCAACTAAGGGAGCATCATTTCCACTGTGGGCACAGAAAATTTGTGTCTATATTATGAACTTCTGACAGGTGGCAGAAGAACATTTTCCAGTAAAAATCAGGATATAGTGACAATTTTCGCCCAGATGAATCCTAATCCACTTGAAGGCACCATCGGGGCTAGGGAGGGCACCAGGTGGGGGGAAGGGAGTTGGGCCTGGGGTTTCTCTGTAGGGAGGAACGAGCCACTCCTAAAGGACAGCATCCAAGGCAGGCTGGGGGCCCCCGAGTGGGAGCAAGCATGGGGGAGCCTGGGAGGGGGGGCATTCTCCTTACGTGCTCTATCCACACATTGGTGGTGAGGGTCTCCTCCACTTCTTTCTGTAATCAGACAGGCGGGCTGTCCTTCAGGGCCTGCGCCACTCTCTCACCTGCGCACGCTCACCAGGCCCCTGCTCCCGGCTGGCACCCGGGGGAACCACGGCAACTGGGCCCCTGGCCTCCTGCCCTGAGTCCCCAGTCAGGAGCGGGTGGGCTGACCAGGCAGCAGAGGACCGAAGGCCTCTGAAGTGTGTCATGAGTGTGATGTGGCATGGGCGTGGCGGGGGGCACTCCCAGAGCCGAAGCAGAAGGGGAGGGAGCACCTCGAGCGTGTTTCCCGGGCAGGGGAGCTGGTCTTGGTCCTAGGGAAGCCGTCCCTGCCCCCTGTCCCCAGCCCAGCCGCGGGAAGGGCCTCTCACCAGGGAGATGAGGTTAGACAGGGTGAGGGCCAGGGAGATGTCCACACGCTCCTCTTTGTGCGCCACGGGCCGGAGCTCCTTGTTGTAGCGCTTCTCGTGGAACAGGTGCCGGATCAGCCGCTCCTCCTCGTTCAGGCCCCAGCTGCCTGGGAAGGGTCAGGGAGCGAGCGGGACACTGGGCAGGGGACCCAGGAAGGAAGCTGCCCTGAGGTCCTGCCGGGCCATGGTGTTGGGCTGAGCAGGGACGTCCAACCGCTTCCCGGGTTCGGGACCCCAGAGGTTGGCCCCTCATGGGGAGAAAGAGCAGCGAGGGAGTGGGGAGGTTATGGGGAGGGAACGAGAGGGGACCATGCAGTGGGCGGCCGGCCGGGGTGGGTGTCACGAGGGACCCTCAGGGCGGGGATGAAGTCTGCCCTTACCACACACGGCCAGGGTGGCCAGCAGCCCCAGTGTGAGCACAGGCCCCTCCATCCTGTCTCCCTGACTGGGCCTTACACCAGCCTGTCCTGCCCACAGCGCTGTGGAATGAGGGTGGGCGGGAGAGCTGACAGGTGGGGGGTGGGGGTGGGGCGACAGGAAAGCAGCCGGAAACACAGGCCGACACCTCAGGGCAGGAGCCCAAGATCCCAGGCTGGGCAGTGAGGGTGGCGGCTGGGTAGAGACACCGGACACCAGTAAGCCACGGATGGGGGGTGACAGACAGGCCAGCTGCTGCCACTTCTTGGGAGGCAGAAGATATGCTCAGATGGGGCTTCCCATCCCCTCTGCAGCTTCTCTGTGCCCCCTGCCAACTGCTTCCGGACACTGGGCCCTCCCTGGGCCCCACCCTTGAGATTAAATGTCTACCCACTGGGCCCCATCCCAAGAAAGCTCCAGAGTCATTTCCGTGGATTATAAATAACATTTATTAAAGCAGCTGTGATTCTCTGATCTCAAACCTGGGAAGACACATGGGGCCCAGGACCCCCACCCCACCCTACCCACATATACCCAGCCCACTGTGGCAGTGACAGTTTGTCATTATGTTCCCTGAACCCCTCTCAGCCCATGGAAGCAGTAGGTCCTTACCAGGGGCGGGGGATTCAGACATGGCTCATGGCTGCCTGGCCGCAGGGATCTGAGGACTGAGGGGGTGGTGCCCCTTCCTCTCCAGTCCTGGCCCCTGCCCCACAGCCATCTGGGGTTCCTCAGGCTCCCCTTCTGCCAGGGCAGCCAAGCGGAAGGCCTGTAGGGCCTGTACCAGCAGCCGGGGGAGGCTGCGAGCCAGGGTGGCCGGCTCTAGGCCCACCAGGCCGCTGAAGACCACATGGCGGCCCCCCAAGCCTGCCCGCACCCAGGCTCTGAAGAGCCCGGTCAGCGTCTTGGAACCAAGGTCTACCAGGACCTACAAGAGGGAAGAGGGCGTCAGGGGCCCAGAAACCCACTCCTCTCTTCCTGGACCTCAGAAACTCTCACCTAGACCCATTCCTCTCCCCTCCCCCCACAACCCTGCTCATTTCCAGCTCGCTTGGACACGCCCCAGCCCCTCCACTCACAGCTCTCCCCCATGTCCCCCCAGCTGCCCAGCTCACACGCAGCAGCCCGCCCTCCCACTCCCTTCCCCGGGCCCTCTACCGCCCCCCCCAGAGCTGGGCAGAGGCAACCCCAGGCTGCCAGGGGGAAAGGAAAGGTCCTCCCTCCTGCTGTGGGGTGGGCGCCCCCTGCTCCCCCACCCACCAGGGCTGAACGCTCTGCACCGTCTCTGGCCTGGGTTCCAGCCAGGTCAGGCCTTCCCAGGCCACTGTGAAGGAGTCTGGAACCTGGGGACCCACCTCACGGAAGTTCATGGCCAGGTGCTGTGAGGGAACCTGCAGGATCCAGGCATGAGCCCCCTGAAGGGTGGCCAACTTCTGGCGCAGGGGCTCCAGCCCAGGGCAGCCTGCAGGCAGGGAGAGGCCAGGGAATAACAGAATGAACCTCTGGAGGCGCTGAGGCTGGGACTCCCACCAGTACCCCAGGACAGCCCCCGACGGTCCTCCTCGTGCTACAGATGGGGAAACAGGCTCAGAGAGGTTAAGCCGTAACTCCAGGCAGAGTTGTTTGGCATTGATGAGAGCCCAAAGCCACAAGTTCCCCCAAAGAATCATCTGTTCTACTGGGGGTTGGGGGGAGGAAAGCGGGTCTCCCTGTTGCCCGGTGTCACAAGTGTTTCCCAGCGCAGACCCCCGGAGAAGCCCTTCCTGGCCTCTGCCCAGCCCGTGCCTTACTCCCCTCCCCAGAGTCGCAGGGGGCGTTGGTACCGGTGGCTTCCCGGCGCTGCTCTGGCCTCCGCTTCGGGAACCGTGTGCCGGCAGCGCGCGATCCTGGGGAGGTGCAGGGTTAGGGGACCGCCTAGGCCCGGGAAAGAGGCTCCGCTGCGCAGGGTGGGGCCAGGCGGGGCCCGGGCTGGGCTGGAGGGCGCGGGATACCTGAGTGCAGCCGCAGCTCGCGGACGAGGTGCCGGGCAGACTCCCGGAACGAGGGAGCTGGGCGAGCCAGGGCGGGGACCAGGCGCCGCAGCCCCGGGCGCGGGCCGAGCAGCTCCTGGGCGTTCCGCAGCAGGCCCAGCAGCGTGTGCGCCAGCGAGCGCAGCTCTGCGAGCAGGACAAGGGTCGGCGCGGCGGTCAGAGGTGGGCCAGGCCCGCCGCCCCGCGCTCACGCCCCAGGGAACGCGACTGACCACATCGCCGCCGGCGCTGCAGACACTGCTGGTGCGCCAGACGCGCACAGGCGCCCTCGGACCCGGGGCACAGGCGCGCGTAGAAGGCGCAGAGCCGGGTGGCGTCTGCCAGCGGCTCCTCGGGCGGGTCCCAGGCCAGAAGTTCCCTGCAGCTGGGCTCGCGGCTGGAGGAGGCTGCTGCGGGCGGGACAGGGACCAGTTTACCCCCTGTTTTGGGTCCTAGACCCCGCAGTCGTTCCCGGGAGGGAGACGGGCTTTTCCGCAGCAGAAGGGAGCTGGGGGTGGGCCCGGTGGAAACGGCTTGTCCTAGGTCTATGTGCGCGGACACTCTGGGCAGGAGAGTATTGGAAGGGAGTGCTCACCGCTCATCTGCTCCTGGAGCCAGTCCTTGAACACTGCCACTCGGGTGTAGACCCCGGGCTTCCCTGGCTCCCCGCAGCCATCCCCCCAGGAGGTGACTCCAAACAGGACCTCCCTGGGGTGGAGGCCGGGCTCAGAACAGGTTAGGGGGCCTCCAGAGTCACCCTGTGGGGCCAAGAAAGAGGACGCTGCATTCACCTGCCCTCTGTTACGCCTGCCTTACACCTGGCAGGTTAAGGCAGCTGGGAGCTCTTCTGTGGTTCCCATTTGTATCCATTTTAGCGGTGAGGCCATGCAGCTCGGAGAAGTTGAGCGATAGCCAGGCCACATAAGGAAAGGAAGTCATCCTGCGCCTGCGGAACTGCTCAGCTGGCACACCCGCCCCATCAATCTGGGTTCATACCTGGCACGAGTCAATGCCTCCCGCCAGGTAACCAGCACAGAGCATGGTGCTGGGGCGCAGCCCGGGTCCCAGGGCCCTTCGGCAAGTATCCGCGCTGAGCAGGGGAACTCGGGCCTCCCTCACTGCATCAGCCTCAGGCCCGTCTGCAGGGAAGGGGCGGAAGGAGGGGCTCGGGTTTGGAGGGCAGAAGGCCCGCTGTGGGGGTCCCCTTCCCACTGCCCTCCCTGATTCCCCTCCCTTTGCAAGATCTGGCAGCCTTTTGTAAAGGCAGCTGGGCCTCCCCGAACTCCATCTCCCCATTCTTCCCACGTGGGGCGCCAGGCTCACCCGGGCCCCGCCTAATACCTTCGAAGAGGGCCCCCCAGCCTGCGATGGCGCAGGCGGTGCCGGCGGGGGGCTCCTGGGGCTCCTGGGGGAGGCACACGGGGCGCGCCGGCCCCGCCGGGCTCACCGGCGTCCACAGCTGCACCAGGGCCAGGTCGTTATGGAAGGTTCGAGGGTCAAACTGAGGAGAGGGTGACGGCGCAGTGTCAACAAGGCGTGGGGTGGGGATGCCGTTACCAGCTCTGAGGGCCTGGGGACTGTCCTCTCACCTTGGGGTGGGACAGGATGCGGTTCACCGGCACTTCTTCCGCTTGCTCCCCCCGGGGCCCCTCGGCCAACGTCACAGTCCACAGAAGCTCATTCGGGGCGCTGCGGGGCGAGCGGCGGGTGATACGCAGAAAGGACAGGGGCACAGAGACGCCCCGGGAGACCCTACCCCTCTGCCCTCGGGCACCACCCAGCGAGCCCGGACGTCGGGCTTTCTCCATCTGGGGGTAGGACTGGCGGGCCGGGGCGTCGCGCCCCCTCGGGGCGAATGCCCGCTTTGGTGCCACCGCTCCGGGTGGGCACTCTGGCTGTGCGGGTGCGGGCGCCTGGAGGCCGCGGAGCCGGGGAGCCCGGGCCGGCCGCCGCCAGGGGGCAGCAGAGACCGGCTCTCCCGCTCGTCTTCCGCCAGACAACCCGCAGGTGCAGCACCTGGCGTTGGGGCCCCGGGCTGGGCAGGGGTCTGGGGGCCCGACATACCCCGCAAAGCAGTGCGCCGCCGTGAGCACCCAGGACGCTGCCACCAGGACGCCGCCGCACAGAGGCTGCCCGCCGAGCTGCAGCCTCACCAGCCAGGGCCAGGCCCCGGGCGGCGCCGCGCTGCCCCCCACTATGCGGCCGTGAGCCCGCGTCACGTTGGCAGTGCTAGGGCGCCTCTCCCCACACGGCCCTAGAAAGGCGCAAGTGGTGTCACGAGGAACCGTTGTGGCTGTCCTCACCATGGAGGCCCACCCTAGGCCCACCCTGTCCTCACCCTGCCCCTCTAGCCTTTTCAGCCTCACCTGGCTCAGGTGGGTCCTGGAGGAGGGAGGCTTGAGGCCTGGAGCGCCCAGGTCCTGCTGAGAAACAGACCTCTGAGTGTAACTGCCACCCGTTTGCCTGTCCTCCACCCTAGGCTGGGCTTGAATGCTCTGTCCGCCCTACCGCTCCCCTTGTCCCCACCCTCTAGCTCACAAGTTCTATTTCCGAAGCTGAGAACTTCTCACTGTTCACATGGGGGGCCCAGACTGTTTCTGCCTCCCTGCCTTTGCACACGCTGTGCCCGAGTCTGGCATGCGCTTTCCACTTGGACAGACCTTAATAAGCACAGCCTTCGTTGCAGCCCCACCCGGTCTCTGTCCCCCCTCCCCCAAGGGTAGTCAAGTTCCAAGGGAGGGCATGGGGTTGGGGTCGGATAGGAGAATGGGCCCGGGGCAGTGAGTGCACGTTCCCTGGGGCCGGGGGTGGCATGTGGGCACACCTGTGCATTCGTGCGCAGTGTGCTGGATCTCCATCACCACTCGGTTAACTGCCCACTGGGCACTCCTCTGGGCCGCCTGCAACGCCTGTGTTCCCTGCGCCGACAGAACTGCTGGGACATAGGGCACAAAATCATGCACAGTTGGGGAAGAGCCTCGGTCTAGTCCTGGTGGCCCAGCCCTCAGCCCTGCCTTGGGAGACCCTGGGGGAGGCAGGCAGGGCTCCCCAAACACGGGCATGGAATAGGGGCGAGAGTGAGCCGCGGGGCCCAGAGCAGATGGACCCAGATTCTCAGCACAAGATATCTCCGTAATTCAACTGAGCCGGACTGGAATCTTTGAACAGTGCCTTTCCTTAAAATTTTTAAAGAAAAAACCACCGCCCCAAGATACAGACATTACAGAACTCAGGCTTATTGACTTAAAGTACCTGTGGTTAAGTTGCCCACCTTGGGGCCCAGACAGCCATGAATATGCTGCACTGGGTCTTTTCCCCTCTGCCAAGTCTGGAACCTTCTCTAAATGCCCTTTGGCAGTGCTTGCCAGCTCCACTTTCCAGCCTCATCTTCCCCCTTCCTCTCCTACCTATGTCTCAGTTCCCGCTCCTTCTCCAGCAGGGTGGGCAGAAGTGGTCGAAAGTCCTTAGAGCGGGAGTGGCAAGCCGGTCTTCCTCCCTCTGCTTGCCCAGGCCTCACTTCCCTATGCCCCTTCTGCCTCAGCCGCTGCCTGGGACCAGCCTGGGCTTACCTTGCAGGGTGCTGGGCGGCAGGCGCATGTACAGTGGGCGCCCACAGGCGGACCACGAGTCTGGGAGGGGCAGCAGCAGCAGCAGCACAGCCAGTAGCATGGTGACCAGGAGCTGGAGCGAGAGACCACGTCCTCTTGGCTCCTCGGGGTCCACCTTCCAGGCGCTGATCCTTTGGTGCCCGCCTCCCGCTGCCTTTCTGCCCCTGGGCACTGAATTCTTGTCCCTCAAATCATCTGGCCCTGTTCTCTTACATCAAAATTACCCGCCTCCCTTGGTCTTCCCCTCACCTGGCCCTTAACTCCTAGGAGCCCACAAGGGACTGGGGCTGCGGGGGCTATATAGAGGACAGCCTGGGGGGAGGTGTGCACGGGAGGGCGGCCAGGATTGGGGGAGGGAATGGAGTAGTGGGCTTGACCCTCACCTTTGAAGTCTCATCATCCCAGCTCAGAGCCCCCCTTCTGTCAAAGGAGCCCTTGTTTCTGCGGCTCCATCAAAGGGGCCAAGACAGGGGAGAAGAGCTGACGGTTGGGCTGAGGGCCAGGCAGAGGGGGGCTGGTGGGCAGGGGCGGGCCCAGTCGCTGGGGCGGGGATGGGGGGATTCCCATCTGCCTCTACCCCCAGGAGTTTGCAGCTATGCTGGGGGCAGACACTCCTGGAGGGAGGAGCGTGGGGGTGTCTGGGGTTTCTCAGCAGCCCCACCCCCTGAGGAAGCCCTATGAGCTCCCCGCCCCTCTGCCCCTAATTGCTTGGCAGCGTCCCTCCCCAATGTGGCCATTTCTAAGGATGATCAAAGCAGCCTAATTATCACCGTAATTGCCGCACTGGGGGTGGTGGAGTGGGAAGGGGCCAAGGCAAGCAGACGCTGCGATGGCGCAGGGAGGAAGGCGTGAGATGAAAGGCCCACAGTGGCCCAGTTCATGGAGGACAGGCCCCAGCAGCTTCTGACGCTCTCCCAGACCCCCCATCCCTGCACAGTGCCAGCTCAGGCTGTCCGGCATTGTTCTCAGTTGCCGTGACCCTGATCTGGCTGGAGGGAGTCTTCTGGAGTCTCCCAGGCAGGGCCACAAACAGGCAGCTCTCCTGGGAGTCACCACCTGGGGCAGGGGAGAGCACCCTTTTACTCTGCAGAATGCCCTGGGGCCCCAAAAGTACCTTGACACCCCAATTCATGCTGGTGACCCTAGGGCCACTTTGGTGGCAGTATTTCTATCACAGGAATCAGCAAATGCTATGAGCTGAGCTCTTCTTCCCTGGAAAGCCAGTGGTCTGCCGTGCAGCAGCGCCACTCTGCGGACCCACTTTCCCCTCCCCAGTGGCACCGCGCGGTATACAGGCAAGACCTCTGGTTCAGGGATGCCTGAAGGTACCGTCTGTGTATGGATGGTTAGGAGTGAATTTTATGAAGTCGGAAGTTACTCTTGTTCATCAGAGTATCTGTCCATCTTGCAGGGTATCTTTTTATCCACGATCTCCAAATTCTTGGCAGAGAGGGGGTTAGCTCAACACAGCCTGAGTTTGAAGCATAAACAGAGGTTTGAGAGCGTGTCCGAGGGAAGATTAGCTGTGGTTCCGAGGAAGAGCCGTCAAGGTAGAGGACCCAGAGAGCAAAGCAGGTAGGTGGGCGAGCCTCACACCTGTCCTCTGAGCTTCTGTCCTACAGGTGCTTGCATCCAGGCCGAGGGGATAAAGGCCTGGAGCGAAGCTCCCACGTGGTTCTGTGGACACTGCCCCCCGGGGAATTCCTCGAGGAGGGTGCGTCCCTCGCCGCTTGGATCCTGCCAGGCCGGAGCCTTCCTGCTCCCCACTTCCCTGCTGCCTCCATGGCCTTCAGAGTGGCAGGAGGAACAATCCAACCAGAGCTGCTGTCTCTATTTTCTGTCCCTTCCACCCCAACTCACCGCAGGGTGTGAACCCAGCCACTGCCAAAGAAAAACAAGGGGCCTTACAGTGTGGATTGCGATTCTGCTCTAACCCCGTCCCATGGCTCTCTGGTTCCCCTGCCGACTTCCTGTCCCCACAGCCTGGTCATGAGCCCTCTCCTCTCCTCTGGGTATACCCCACTCAAGTCTGGGTCAGTTTCGTCCCTTTCCACAGGTCACTTCTTGAGAAACACATCTAAATCCATGTCTCATGAAATTATTTTGTTTATTATTATTATTATTATTTTGAGACACTGTCTCACTCTGTCGCTCAGGCTAGAGTGCAGTGGTGCAAACACAGCTCGCAGTGGCAGCCTCGAATGCCTGGACTCCGCTGATTGCTCCCCTCAGCCTCCAGAGTAGCTGGCACTACGGGCTTCACCCCCACGCCTGGCTAATTTTTTATTTTTTGTAGCGACAGGGTCCCACCGTGTTGCCCAGACTGGTCTCGAGCTCCCGGCCTTAAGTGATCCTCCCGCCTGGCCTCCCACAGTGCTGGGATCACAGCTGCAGTGCCTGGTGTATTTTATTTATTATTATTTATGCGTGCATTTGTTCCTTGCCTGCTTCCCCCATCAAAATGTCACAGAGAGGCCTTCCGGGCCATTGTCCCTGCAGTTCCTCTTGTTTTGTCACATAACCCTCTTGTATTTTCTTCAAAGCCATCATGTCTGTGTTGCAGGGTGTTGAAGGGGGTTCTTGGTAGAAGGGGCTTAGTCTCCCGCAGTCTAGTTAAGTGGGCGCCCGCAGTAGGCCCCAGACCTCCCCTCGATAAGCGGCTCGGGTCAGAATCAGTACAATTCCCCCCAGCCCCTTTCCCCAGGGAAATAAGAAAACAAGAGGGGGAAATAGGTGCACGGCATCTTCCCTGGCTCCCACAGCCGAGGCGGAAAGGAGGGGTGGTGGCCCAGGAGCAATCAAGGAATTCCTGGGTCAAGGATGGGGAGCTGCCAGAGGGAGAGGCTGGCATTTTGGTGTCCAGTTGGAGGTCAGCTTAGCCAGAGGACTGACCCGCCAGGGACTCCTGCGGCGATGGTGTGGGGGGCTGCTGAGTGGGGCGGGGCTCTACACCCCTACTCTGAGGCTCCTGGTTTCTAAGAATCAGCAGACGGATCTGCGATCCCACGTGTTCCCCAGGCCCGAGTGTTGGCCCTGAGGATGGATGAGTCCGGTGGCTTCAGGCTTCTGGAGACCCCTGAAGCGTGGGGGGCAAAGTGCAGCACAGCAGGACGCCACCAGCTGCACATTGCCGCAGTGCACACATCTGGCAGGCAGGACTGGCCGCGTGATTTGCTGGAGTCCCAGTGCAAAATGAAAATGCAGCACCCCTTGTTCAACAATTATTAAAAATTTTTCCTTTTCTCCATAATTTTGTAAAAGAAAATTAATTAAAAAATAAAAAACCCCAATTATTAAGAATTTTAAAATAGCAACAGCAGAACATTAAATCAAGTGCGAGGCCTTGCCGAGCACCAGGCCCTGTGCCCGGGGAGCCTCCCTGAGTGAGCCCTCCGTCGCGGGCAGCTGGCGCTGCTTGTGCCAGGTCTGAGCAGCAGTAGGGCGGTGGCCGTGGCTCTGGGGACCCCTGTCCCAGGCAAGTCAGGAGCCCAGTGTCCCTTCCTCTCTCCCTACCCCAGCACCAGAGGGGAGAGTCCCGCCCACCGCGCCTCGACAACTAGGGCCCTGAAGCTTGGAGCCCTGGGGGAGGGGAGGTGGAAAGGGAGACTGGAGTTTCCTTCTGTCTGTCTGTTTTTGGAGACCAGGTCTCGCTCCCCTGCCCAGGCTGCAGTGCAGTGGCTCATAGCTCTCTGCAGCCTCTTGGCCTCAAGTGATCCTCCCTCCTCCTGCCTCGGCCTCACAAAGTGCTGGGATTACAGGCAGGAGCTGCCCTAGAGACTGGAATTTCAATGAACAGTGGCCAGGAGAAGATTCTAACTGCAGGGTGGAGAAGGCCCACCCTTCCAGTGGGAAAGGGGCCTCCCACCCGCACAGGAGAGGGCAGGGCCTGGGAAAAGTAAGCTGTTTTGAACCGAGATTTGAGTCGAGATTCCCCAGTAAGGGTTAGAACTGTCTTCAGTGTGAGTTTGGTCAGTCGTTGTCTGTCTGCTGCAGGACAGCAGGGCTTGCCTGACCTCACCAGAGCGGGACACGCGTGTGCCAAGTGAAGGAATGGTCAGTGCTGGCCCCCCTGCCGCAGCGCTGAGTGTGCTGCCTCCTGGCTCTTCAACCTCAATCTGCCCAAAGCGGCCCTAGGCTCTCTCCTCCCCTGCTGCCGCCCTTTCTGCTCTGCTCTGGCCACCCTTGCTCTCCCACAGCCAGTCCAGTCTGTCCAGCCCTGGGGCCACTCTCCTCTAGCAGGCCTGGCCAGTCCTCTTCTTCCAAGTCAGGGCGTTGGGGAAGAGAAGTGACATTTTCTGAGGGACCCATGGACGCCAGCACTTAACACAGTTATTGTCAGATGCAGGGAATTAACATGGCTTAGAGAGATACTGAGCCGAGGCCCCCCTCCCCCCGGCACTGTCCCATGCTCTCCTTTCACGGGGCAGGCTGACTGCAGGGGGGATGCAGAGGGGACCTGGAAGGCCCCTGGATTCTCCTCTTCCGTCTTCACCACCACCCCCCAGGCCCCGCCTCACCTGCCTTGGAGGAGAGGACATGCCTGCTATTTGCAGATCCTGCCTCTGCCCCTGGATGTCCCCAGCAGGCTGCAGCTGCTCCCCCTTGACCCCTCCCACAGGCAAAGGGAAGTCCTGGCCCAGCCCACCCATTTCAAGAGAGGGAGGGAAAGGACCTTGGACCTCCTCACTATCTCTGGAAAAACCCCAGCAGGTTCCTGTGGGCTCAGGTGACTTGAGTCAGCCCCAGCCTCCCTGCTGGGGCACGGCAGCCCTCTCTTGTATTGGGGTGGGGTTGTGGGCTGGGCCTCTGGAAATGGAGAGGAGAGACCCAGGCACTTGCCGCCCTGGGGTGGAAGCATCTCTACAGCTGTGCCCTGGGGAAGGGCCTTCTTCTTCCTTCCCTCCTTAGGACCTCTGTGTCATGGAGGTGCTTGTCCCTCCCTCTGTCCCAAACTACCCTGACCTTCCCGGCTTCTCCAGGAGAGTGGGAAAAGCGGGGTAGGAGGGAGACACAGCCAAGAACCGACCAAGCTGCCTTTGGAGGCCACGTCCCGAGACAGCAGACAGGGACCTGCAGCTACACCAGCGCTGCCGACCACAGTGGTTGTAGGCATGAAAGTGGCCATGAGCCAGCGGCTGATGCCTTGAGGTGCAAGGGCAGCTGAGGTCAGGGTCTTCTTGGGATGAAAGG